TGGGGAGGGAGGTGTTATGTGAGATTGGAGGGTAAATTCAATCTCTGTTTATTTTGATGAAAGTAGAAGTTGTACTGCTTATATTTGGAGTCATAGAAAACTTTCTTTCATATCAAGGTTATAGAAAATTCACCATGACTTTTTCCTGTTGGCTTCAGTTTTCATATTTAGATTACTGATGCAATTGGCATTTATTCCTTTATGGTGTAAGATAGGGATTTTTATTCAAATTCAGATAATTTGAATAAATGTGTGTATATGTTATATATCTGTATATACTAGACATACTGCATATTAAATATGTAATCATATGCATATGTTCATATGTTTATGTTAGTGAAGTATCCACCATTTATTAAAACACATATCCACTGTTTATATTATGATTCCAGAATCATAACCATGTAACTTGTCATGTAATTATAAAAGTCTTTCTAGATTTTGTGTTCTGTTCCACTTTTCTCTCTCTATTCTTGTGCCAGTACAAACAACTTAATCTATAACAAGGTAGTTTTAAATCTGGTGGTGTTAGCCCCCTCCACAGTTTCTTTTGTTGGAGCTTTTCCCAGCTATTTTTTTTTTATCCCTCCTCATAAAACTTCAGTGTTTTTTTTGAACTTTAGTTTTATTTTGTCTAGTTCCAGAAAAACTTCTCAGTGTTTTAATTGGGATCACATACTTGTAAAGCTTTTGGATTACGTTGACCTATCCAAGTACAAGTTTCATTCCACTTGTTGAAGTCTATTTCTTGGTTAGTCAGAAGTGTTTCCTATTGCAGGCTTTGTACATTTCTTGCTAAGAGTTTTATTTTCTCTGTTGCTGCTGTAAACTGTATACACCCAAGTTATATTTTTTTTACTCTTTTTCTATGTAGTAAGATTATTGATTCATATGTATTATTTATATGTCCTGTTACCTATCTAATAGTTCTCTTATTGCGTTGATTTCATTGTCATTTCTGAGTTTTCTAGGTATAATGTACCATCTACAAATAGAAATAGCTTTACTTTCTCTTATTATAACAGGAGCTAGTGAGCATTTGGCTTGTTTCTGAGCTTAGTGGTAATGTGTTTCCCCATTAAATATAATCCTGACTTTTGGACTGAGGCATAAATGTGTGTATATTTGCAAGCTTAACAGAGTTTATATATGTACTCTGTATGATTGAGATATATACATGTTATATACTTGTATATACTAGACACTGCATATTAAATATGTAATTGTATATTGTTCATATATTTATGTTAATGAAGTATCCACCAATTTCTATTTTCTTGGGTATTTTTTTTATTTTATATCAGTTTATTTTTACATCATTTTGTACATTTTTTTCCCCCATCTCAATTGTAATCCCCGCAGGTTTCCCATCACCAAGTCACCCGTGTGCCATCACCATAATCCCAGGCACTTCCCTCCCCACCCCCCCGGATTTCTTGGGTATTTTTAAAATGTATTTTAAATTTCATCAAAAGTTTCTCTTAATCTTTGGAGGTATGAGATTTTTTTCTTAGCTATATTAAATGGCAATTTTTAGTAGTGGGTTCGCAAATATCTAAATACTCTGTATTTTTTTTAAAGATTTATTTATTTATACATACAGAACTGGGGTATAGGCCAGAGGTACAGGGGCAGAGAGAGGATTCATCAGAGACAGAGTAGGGAGCGGAACAGGCAGATTGACAAAATACACTGCTGAGGGGAGCAGCGGGCAGGTCAGGAAAGGTCTGCTGTAACATGTGGGTCACTTCCGGGGCTGGGAATCGAACTTATGCTGAAGTGGCTTTAGCTTCTTAGTGTGCTTTAACCCACTGTGCCACCAGGGAGGACCCAATACTCTGTATTCTTAAAGTTCCATTTAGCTATTACATAGTCAGTATTCAATTCCATATTGTGGTGATGTTTGCTAATAATTTCTTTTGAATAGCTGTGTTTCATCTAAGTGGTATTCGTATGTAATTTATTTTACTGATTTGTCAACATATATCACTATTATCATGTCATTATTCAAACTCCTCTGACTCCTTCTTGATTGACTAACCTTGAAGGTCATTAATTTCATAGATAAAGATTGTATAAGCTCATTTGGCCTTGCTTTGGGCCAATCCTGTTTGGGTAGATTTTACCCACGCAGGCATGGGTAACTCTGGGTCCTTGAATTGGAAACTTTTCTGTATTGCACACTGATTGTATTAAAGTTCCTTTCCATTAAAGGTCTTATATGTTTTGTCTTGATGAGACAGATGGCAGAACCTATTTAGAGCAGACAGGCTTAGGAATTCTGGGGTGCCCCCTCCCTGCCCTGTAACAGAATGAATAGACCACATTTTGCTTCTGTTCACCCATCAGTAAACACTAAATTACTACTATGTTTTAGCTGTTGTGAATAATGCTCCTATGCACGAGTGTACAAATACCTGTTTGAGATCCTGCTTTCAATTCCAGAACTGGAATTATTGGATTTTAAAATAACTCTATTTTTAATTTTTTGAGGATCTACCAAACTTTTTCATAGCAGCTGACATTTTACATTCCTACAGTAGTGCTTGCACGACCCCACCGTAGGGTTGCAATTTCTATCACACTTGTAATTTCCTGTTTTGTTGTTTACTTTGATAATAGCCATTCTTTTTTTTGTGTGCGCGCATTTTTTAAATAATAGTTTATTTTTACATCATTTTGTGCCTTTTCCCATCTCAGTTGTAATCCCCATGGGCTTCCCATCACCAGATCACCAGTGTGCCATTACCATAGTCCAGTGCACTTCCCTCCCCCCACTGATTTTGATCCCATTTCCCACTCCATCCCCATGAAATGTGGTATATATAGTTGTTCATTATTATTATTATTATTTTCTTACCTGGTCCCTTATACTCCTGCTATGAGTGAAACCATCCATAATTTTTCCTTTTCTTTTCTGGCTTGATAACAGCCATTCTTTTTTTTTTTTTTTTTTAAGATTTATTTATTTATTCAAACAGAACTGGGGTACAGGCCAGAGATGCGGAGGGTGAGAGGATTCACCAGAGACTGTGGGGAGCAGAACAGGCAGATCCACCAAGTACACTACTGAGGGGAGCAGCGGGCAGGTCAGGAGAGGTCTGCCTCACAATGTGGTCACCTCCAGGGCAGGCAGGGATCGAACTCATGTGGAAGTGGCTTTAGCTTCTTAGTGCTGTGTTTTAGCCTGCTGTGCCACCAGGGAGGGCCCGATAACAGCCATTCTTATGGGTTAGGAGGGGCCAGCTCATAGATTTGATTATTGTTTCCCTGGCAGTTAATGATATTGGACATTTGTTCATGTGTTTTTTGACCAGTTGCATATCTTCTTTGGAGAAATGTCTAATTACAGAAATAAACAATGATGTAAGAAAGAAAATAAAACAGTTGTCAGCATAAAATAAAAAGAAACATTGCCCATATTTGAATTCGATTTTTTTTTTTTTTGGTCATTGAGTTTTTTGAGTTCTCTTTATATTGATATCAGTCCCTTCAGATACATGATTTTCAGGTATTTTTTCCCACCCCAAGTGCTGTATTTTCCTTCTATTTAAAGATTGTATCTTCTGATGCACAGACTTGTAGGGAACTGATAGTGAGTTGGTAGACAAGGTTAAGTTTCTTAGGTCAGTTGCTTTGCATTTTGACTAGTTTCCTAAGAGTCCGTGTCGCAACACAAGTGACCTACCTGAGCTAGCCTTGCATTAAACGTGTGTTCCTGGCATCCCATCTGGTGCAGCACTTATCCCAGGCTCACTGTTTAGACAATGAGTATGTGGTCACCCTGATTCTGGAGGTCTGAAGTGTGGTCTCCTTTACTCTGTATCTGGTTACAGTTCTCAGTTCTGCCTTCATCTGGCTGCTCTTTGTACTAAAAGAAGGGAGCCACTCGAGAGGCTCAGGTACTCCTGAGTAGTTAATTGTTTTTTAGCCAGTCACTCTGCACTCCACAGGAACCCAAAGCCTCTTGGTGGACCTGTCGCTTTTTAAGGACTCACTTGCAGAGTCTGCAATTCTCTTTTGCTGCAGCCAACATCTACCCCTCATGAAGTTGTATGTTCTGTGGCTCTGATTTCTTACCTTTGACCCTACTCCATACTCCAGGACTTACTCAGAGAAAGTCCTGCTGTTAGTACCTCTGTGTTCCAGTGCTTTTTGGTAACTATATATTTTTTTAACTATATTTTTTTGAATTGGGACGTTTGCTTTTGAGACAGGAAAGTAATTGTGTATGGTTCAGTTCATGTTCTTGAATTAGAATTGACTTTACTCCCAAGCTCTAAACTATCAGCAGTATGTCAGTTTTTGCCTTGGTACTTATTACTCTGGGACCACAAAATTAAAATACTTTTCCTCTCTTGTTTTTGATTTTTTTCAAAAGATTTATTCATACAAGAGCTGGGTGTAGGCCAGAGTAGGGGAGGGTGAGAGCATTCACCAGACAGAGTGGGGAGCAGGATAGGCAGATCAACCAAAATACATTACTCAGGAGAGTCTGAGCAAGAGAGATCTGCTGCGCCATGTGGGCCAGCTCTCTGGGTTAGAATTGAACTCGTGCTGCAGTGGCTATGCATGGTGCTTATTAAGAAGACCAGACACAGAATCCTGAGGTACACCAGCATGAAAAGGCCCAGCAGTAAAAGAGGGCCAACCAGCAAAGACTACTCAAGAAAATAAAAAGGAACAAGATGAATATGTTTATTTACATGGGTATCTCACCAGACTACAGGTTTCTGAGGGTGAGAATGGTGCTTTACTCATATTGCCCCCAAAAGCTTGTTCAGTCATAAAATGAGAACTCAGGGTTTTCGGGGGTTTTTTTTTTTGTTTTTTTCACCTGAAGAACCCAAGGGCGATGTATTCCTAATGTGGTTGTTTTTCTTCCATAATCATAGCAGGTGAACAGTATGTGTTCATAGTTAATGTTACCACTCAGCTTACTAAGTTCTTGTTTGTATATCTTCTTTGTGTCACCTAATCCTGATCATGTGCTACTACAGGGATCAGTGTCATTTAAGGATGTTGCTGTGAATTTCACCCAGGAAGAGTGGCAGCAGCTAGATGCTGAGCAGAGGACAACATACAGGGATGTGATGTTGGAGAACTACAACCATCTTGTTTTCATGGGTGAGGACAGCTTTTCTGAATTGCTTTTCTCTTGAGACTTGCAACTTCATGATTTTATCCTAGGTTTTAAGAAATAAGTGATAAGACCTTTAGTTCCTTTTAAACTAGGTAGATATTTTATGTTATCTTTGCTCCACCTAAAGGTTTTAATTTTGATAAGGTGAAATATAAGCCTTTATATCATGCAGCCTCTGAGGCAGCATCTTCTGCTCAGAGATCCTGAAGCTTAGCAGCTGGGCCACAAACATCTCCATTCTCATTCACAGGGTATGACAGCACCAAACCAAATGTGATTGTCAAGTTGGAGCAGGGGGAAGAGCCCTGGGTAGCAGAAGGGGAATTCCCAAATCAGACTCATCCAGGTAAGTTAGCAGAATATTACATTTTTTAAAAAAGACTTTATTTATTTATGCATACAGAACTGGGGTACAGGTCAGAGGTACAGGGGTGGTGAAAGGATTCACCAGAGACAGCAGAGTGGGAAACAGAACAGGAAGATCGATGAAGGGGAGCAGTGGGCGGGTCAGGATAAGTCTCCTACGCCATGTGGGTCACATCCAGGGCGGAGATTGAACTGGCACTGAAGCAGTTGTGCTAGCTTACAGTGCTGCATCCTAACCCGTTGCACCACCAGGGAGGGAAGAATATTACATTTTAAAAACAGCCACCCGAGACCTTTGGGAGTGACTTTAACAGGTATGTGTAGATGTGCCCTGAATGTCACAGACCACACCTCCCACTACCCAGATAGCACTTTCCCTCCACATATGCATCAGCTCTTATGTTTTACATGTGAAGGGATTTTCTTGCTTGTCAATGCTGTGAATCCCCCTACTTGCTTTTTCTCTTCTATTGTTAGTAACTTACCAACTCCCTATCATCAGGCTTTCAAAAGCCTAACAGAAAAGTGAACTTTGAGACTCTGATGTTTATTCTTTTTATCTTCCATTTTTTCCCTGCCTTGCTGTGAAATGCCTCATGTATCACTTCCCCGTGTGCTCAGGTAGGCAAATCCTGTCCTCCCCTTAACTTGGGAAGTCATGGTCCCCTTCCCACAGTGAGCACTGCACTTCATTTAGAAGTGCTAATCTCCATCCTTGAAATCTACCCTCAGTTGGATGACGCAACATAAACTTGACTTCCTCTTTCCCCACTGCTCATTCATGTCTTGTGTATCTATCCATTCCAGTGTCCACAGTAGATGCTGAGGGAGGTTTATTTCATAAGTGAATTTGAGTCATTCTCTTGTCTTATTCAGCAGTGCCACACAGAACCTGTTCTCTACTTCTTTAGTTTTAGATAAACCTTTAAAAAGCTTAACTTTTAAAGCTTTTTTTAAACTTATATATCTGTTGCCCATCCACACTGACACTGACTACCTGTGAGTGCTTTACTTAACAGGGATTGCTCTGTTAAGCCACTTCCTTCTTTCTCAGAAAGTCTCATGATAAACTATAAACTCTACAAAATCATGAGTTCTATACCTTTTGCTCACCTCCCTTTATTTATTGTACCAATCGTATTTTCCTGGTTTTTGTCTTTTGTCTTTTGTGAAATGCCTTCAGTTTTTCCCGGCTTGTTCTCAGTTTCTTATGACACCGACATAAACAGTACTATCTCATAAATGGATTATAATGAATCCTGTTTGCAAAATCTCATCTGAAGCCTCTAGTGGACCTAATCACTAGACTATGAAATGAGCCTCTGACTGTTCACTTACTTCTTAAATGGAATTTACACTTTCTTTTGAGATCCCACACAATAAGGCACAAACAATGTTACCTATTAAAATTAAGATCCTATTTCCCAAAACTCTGGTTAAATTACACTTAATCTAGATTTCCAGATGTCCTCTAAGTTATTGTCCCTTTCTTATGTATTTTACATAAGATTTTCCTTCTTTCCTTCCTTCCTTAATTATAAAAAATATATAACATAAAATTTATCACTTTGACCCTATATGAGTACACAGTTTGGGGTGTTAGCCAAATTCAAATTGTTGTACAATAGAACCATTAGAACTTTGTCCTTAAATTAAAGCTGAGAAGTTTGGTTTCTCTTAGAAGTTTCCATCAGTATTCATTAATCACTCAGTCTTTCCCTTCCATTAACTTTCTGTTCCACTTAGTCATTATTACCACAAAAGTTAGACATGGTTATGTACTTTGATATGGTTTGATTTATATTTATTCCTTATGCTTTCCCTACTAGAATTATAATCCTTCATGAAGAGGAGCATCTTCTTACTCTGCTTTGATATGTAACACACAGTAGGCATTCAGTAGATTTTTTTGTTCACTGAGGAGCTTTATTATTTACCCATGAAGAGAATATTTATTCTGAACTAGTTGGAATTATAGGATCTATTACAGCAGATAGGCATTAGGTTGGAACCCAAAAGTGCCTGATTTGATTAAACAGGAACTTTAATTTATAATGATAGAGAGATGCAAAGAAAATAGGAAACGTCATGTATGTCCACAAGTGCAGGTTTTTGTTAGGGAAGATCATAGCTGTTTGAACTAGTTTAAAATTCAGCTTTCATGTGAAATATTGATATTTCCATGTATGTTATACAACTTTGTGTTAAAGCTGTTTTAAAATTTAATGTAAGAACAAATTCAAAAAACTGGGAACCCGGTTTTGGGGCTATCTCTAAACATGAGGAAATTGGAACTTTGGATTTTTTATTTGCAGTTAAGTGCAAAATAGAAAGGCAGAGATTTTAGAAGGGTCTAGAACAGTGAGGCTGTTACTGTGGCATTCGTAATATGAAGTAATAGCAATGGTTTAATATAATAATCCTCCATAACTCTGTTTCTATCATATCCATAATATATTTGAATATTTCCTTTGAATATCCACCCCAGAATTTTTCTCCCACTGGCCCCATTTGCTCAGAATCCTCCCATTTCTGCAGGATCTAGCTCTCTTTCAATGACTTTATTCTGTGTTCATCATTTCTTGAGTTTGTTTTGCCTTTCTACCAAAGTCTTAAATATATTGTAAATAACAATGGTATTTGTTTTCATTGTGATTTTACTCTTTTTTCAATAATGCTGAGTCCTGTTAAGTTTGCCCTTTCCATATCTGCCCTACCCCTGTGTAGGACACTTGAGTTCCACTATTCTCTAATTATTGTGTTAATAATAACAAGTTTGTTTGACTTTCTTGCTTTTTAGAAGCAGTCTGGAGGTTAAATGACCTGATAGAGGAAATCCAAGAAAATGAATGTGGACATGCTAAGCAAGCTGTTTACATCCACAGCAAAACCCTGACTGAAGAGAGGCAGAATGTACTTGACAAAACATATAATGTGGAAACAAACCTTGTTCCTTCAAGCATAATATCTCATAATTGTGTCTCATGCAGAAAGAACTTAGAATCTACTTCAGAATTAATTATTAGTGATGGAAGCTATGCAAGAAAAAAACCTAATGAGTGTGGTGAATGTGGGAAAACGTATGGAGAGAAACCTTACGAATTTAATCAAAACAGAGAAGCTTGCTCTCAAAGTGAAGAAAACATTCTTCAGAAAATTAACGTTTTAGAGAAACCCTTTGAATTCAGTGACTGCATAGAAGCCTTAGACAATGAAACTGTTTTCATTACTCATAAAAGCACTTATATGGAAGAGAAACCCTATGAATGGAATGGGTCTGAGTCAGATTTCATCCAGATGTCAGATTTTAATGTATACCAGAGATCACAAATAGAAATGAAGCCCTTTGAATGTAGTGAATGTGGGAAATCCTTCTGTAAAAAGTCAAAATTTATTATACATCAGAGGGCTCACACAGGAGAGAAGCCCTATGAGTGTAATGTGTGTGGAAAATCCTTCAGCCAAAAGGGAACACTCACTGTACATCGGAGATCACACTTAGAGGAGAAACCCTATAAGTGTAATGAGTGTGGGAAAACCTTCTGTCAGAAGTTACATCTCACCCAACATCTGAGAACTCATTCAGGAGAGAAACCCTATGAATGTAATGAATGTGGAAAGACCTTCTGCCAAAAGACACACCTGACTCTGCATCAGAGAAATCATTCAGGAGAGAGACCCTATCCATGTAATGAATGTGGGAAATCCTTCTCCCGCAAGTCAGCTCTCAGTGATCATCAGAGAACACATACAGGCGAGAAGCTTTATAAGTGTAATGAATGTGGGAAATCCTACTACCGAAAGTCTACTCTTATTACACATCAGCGAATACACACAGGAGAGAAACCCTATCAATGTAGTGAATGTGGGAAATTCTTTTCTCGGGTATCATACCTCACTATACATTATAGAAGTCACTTAGAGGAGAAGCCCTATGAATGTAATGAATGTGGCAAAACCTTCAATTTAAATTCTGCCTTCATTAGACATCGGAAAGTGCACACAGATGAGAAACCCCATGAATGTAGTGAATGTGGAAAGCTCAGACAGTTTTCATATTCCCCTGAACATCACACAATTCCTTTAGGAGATAAACCCTATGAATGTAATGAATGTGGAAAAACCTTCCTTGAAAACACAACCTTAAGTGGGCACCAGTCATTACCAAAAGGAGAAAAGTCCTATGAATGTAATATATGTGGAAAATTATTCTCTGAGTTATCATACTACACTGTACATTATAGAAGTCATTCAGAAGAGAAGCCCTATAGATGTAGTGAATGTGGAAAAACCTTCTCCCATAATTCATCCCTCTTTAGACATCAGAGAGTACACACAGGAGAGAAACCCTATGAGTGTTATGAATGTGGAAAATTCTTCTCTCAGAAGTCTTATCTCACTATACATCATAGGATTCATTCAGGAGAGAAACCCTATGAATGTAGTAAATGTGGAAAAGTCTTCTCTCGGATGTCAAACCTCACTGTACATTATAGAAGCCATTCAGGAGAGAAACCCTATGAATGTAATGAATGTGGAAAAGTATTTTCTCAGAAGTCATACCTCACTGTACATTATAGAACTCATTCAGGAGAGAAACCCTATGAATGTAATGAATGTGGGAAAAAATTTCACCACAGATCAGCTTTCAATAGCCATCAGAGAATTCATAGGAGGGGTAATATGAACATACTTGATGTGGAAAACCTCCTGTGAAGTCATTTAAAAAACCCTCTGCATACAATAAATATGGGAAATCCAACAGGGAATCAGATATCTGTTTGAGAGTGTTTTTGTGAACAGAAAAGCATGTAGGCGTTAGACTCATTTTAATCTGAGTTTTCATAGAGAAGAATCCCTAAAAATAGCAATGAACAAAGACTTCAGCAGGACCCTACAACTCAATGGACAATAATTTATGCAGTAGTAAAACCTTATGAATATTTAATATTTATTTTGGTTCAAATTATATATCAGGGAGTCATACCAAGGCAAAATCCAAGTGGTGAATGTGAAAAATATATTGTCTTGGAAATTGTTATACTACAAGCCATATTTCAGATGGAACATCAAATGTTTCTAGGCAAGATATCAGAAGCTGTCAGCTCTAGATAAACCACTGTACAGGATGAAGTTCTAAAATCAGAAGTTGATAATGAAGACAGTCATAGTGAATACATGTATTGCAGTTTATCAAATGCAGTTTTTAAAATGCAGTCTAATAGCAATTCTATGCAATTTTGTGTAAGTGCAGATTTAAATATGTGAAAAGACAGCATTATAATTTGAATGTTAAGATGACAACATTTATTAATGGGATATTGTTGGTGAGTTGTGTGGTAGGTACAAATTAGTTAAATATCCAATTTTCTATTCTTTAGAGGTATTTACAATGGGTTTTTAATGAATGCCCCCATCAGTAGGGGAGGCAGTGGTTTTGTAAAGTTTTTAACTGCATTTGAGCAAAAAAGAATTTTTAGAATATTTTCATAGGCTACATAGATAATTGGAATTGAATATTTTAACAAAAGGACACCTATATTCATACTCTATAAAGTGCACAGATCTCACATTACTCTGTTAACCCACAAATTTGTGCAGTATGCCACTATTATGTAATTCAGATGTTTTAGCTGCTCTTTTATTTGGTAGGAATATGGTGTCATTTTGTACACTGCCTCTTACTCCCAACATTTTGAAAAAGTTAATACAAAGTTCCAGCAGACTATTTGGTTCACGAATGCACTGTTTTCCTCCTCACTTTTTGCTGGAAGTGTTTTGGTGTCCGTCTTTCTTGACAGAACACAAGATACAGCCTAAAAAGTCTCAGTCCATCATGAATTCATTATAATTTCCAGTAACTTGTTTATAGTGGGTACATGGCCCCATATTGGGTCAGTAAATTAAAGATGGGTTTCTTCTTCTGGGAAATGGTTAGAACTGATCAAATGGGTCTTATTCCTGGACCGTGTCTTAACACCCCAAAAAAAAAATCCTTAGTTCATGTAACACAGGAGATCATGTGGTAAAGTCACCATCCATCTATGTTTTTAGCAAACCATGGATAGAAAGGAATGTTTTCACTTGGATAATGAGCAACTTAAATTATAACAAAATAGTATGGCAGTGAAACAAAGTTTTCTCCCCTGAAAATAGAGAAGGATATCTCCTCTGACTAACTTTATTCAATATTGTTAAGAAGGCCCTAGCTCAGAAAGTAAGAGAAGAAAAAGAAAACACATGAGAATTAGAAAAAGTAAAAATTACTTGCAGATGGCATGGCTTTATTAAGTTAAAAATTCTTAAGATACCAACAATGAACATAGGAAATGGAAGTTTAAAAAGCAATACCACTTACAGCAGCATAGAAAATCTTCAAGTGCTTAGAGGAAAATTTGCCTAACAACATATTTTCAAGAACTATTCAGAAAAAAAATTACAAAACTGACAGGGATATATCTTGGTTATGGGTTCTAAGACAATCAAAAAAAATCACTTTCCCTAATCCATATTTTCAATGCAGTGTTGAAGTCCTAGAAAATTAATTGAAATTAAACTAATTCTTAAATCCATGATAAAATTCAAAATGCCAATAATAGGTGAGGCTGTGTTCTAGAATATACAATCCTAGAGAGTTTAAATTGCCAAATAATGACATGTAATGTGACATCTTATAATGTGATTTAAATTAGGATAGCATGATTTTGGCACAAAGATAAATTGACCAGTGAGAGAAAGATTCTGGAAGCAGGCATACATAATGATTTTTGATGAAAGTGATAATGCAGTTGATAGGGGAAAAGATGTTTTCTAATAGGTTTCATGATAAAAAGGTCAGCTGAGGTGAATCACAGGTCTAATTGTGAAATGTAAAATAGGGTCAAAAAACACTAAACCATGAACATTTTGATTGGGATATATTGCTTTAAAACTAAGAAAAACTTAAGGTAAGCCATGTAAATGTTTACAATTCACATATATGACACGAGACTTAAGTATAGTAGAAAAGAGGTTGGTAAATCTTTGGTAAGGAGGCTGATAGTATTTTGGACATTGAAAGCTAGATGCTTCTCTGTCACTCAACTTTACCCTGTGGAAGCAGACTACATAATGTGTAAACAAAAGAACATCACTATGTTCCAATGAAACTACTTGCAAACACAGGCAGTAATCCTATACTTCACCAAAAAAACACCTACAAATGAAGAAGGAAAAGATTAAAATTAGGGGAGGAACTTAAACATCAACAAAAAAAGGTACCTAGCTGGCAAATAACATGAAAAGTATATAAATTTTATTAGTAATCAGGAAAGTGCAAATTTAAAACACCTCGTGGTACTAACTGGTTTAAGTAAAAGCACCTGATTTTGGCAAGTATTAGAGGAAAATTTTCCTCTTCTACACTGCTGGTGATATTGCCAATTGTTATAACCATATTGTTTTTACCCTTTTAACCCAAACCTAGCAGAACTGTACATACAAGTCAACCAGGCATGTAGATAGCCACCAAAGGAAGTACTAGGATATTTACAGCATAAAAATGCCAAAAACAGATCTGAAGGCCTATTAGGATGAATGAACTTCAATAGTATATTTCCACTACTGAATAATGTAAAGCTATGAAGGTGAATGAACTCTTAAGTACTTGCAATAATACAGTTTCACAAACTACTGAAAGGAATCCAGATGAGCAAACAGTGTATGAGTCCATCTAATGTATAAGAACAGGCAGAACTGATCTGTGCAGATAGAAATAGTACCTAGCTTTGGCCAAGGCTGAAAGGGGGGGTACTTAACCTGGTGCTGGTCATTTTCTATATCTAACTCTAGGTGCTGAATATCTGAGTGTTGTGTGAACATAAGATAATGTGTATTTTTTCTGCATGTGTATTATACTTTTATAAAGTTTTTTTTAAATCACAAATGTTTACCATTTTTGTTGGTCTACACACCATGTTTTCCTAGATGTATGTGGATATGCTGCATAACAGGAATTAAGTGGTAGATTGTGCATAGTTTTGTGCAGGAAATTAGTCATGTGTCGCTTCATGACATGTCTGTCAAATACAAACTATGACTATGACAGTGGTCCCAGTGGATTCTACCATACAGCCTCGTGTGTTGTAGGTTATATCTTATAGGTTTGTGTAAGTACCCTTTGATGTTAACACAGTGACAAAGTCTCAACGCATTTCTCAGAAGGTTTCCCTGTCATTAAGTAATGTATGGTTAGTTTTAATGGCAACTAATTCCCTACACTGTGAACTTAGAACTTAATATAACGGGTAGCTTAAGTAAAACACTTGCAGAGGTGAGAGGACCATTACTTTTTGTCATCCACCCCTTCTCAAATACAAATGGGTCAGAACTGCTTCTTTAATAAAGAACTAAAGTGTGTGAACAGTGTACATTTCCTCAGATTGTTTTTCACATTTATGAATTTGGGAAACAATCATTACCCTATCATAGAGTTGACCTTCAAAGTAAGTGAATAACAGTGGTGAGTTTGACTTGATGAAAGTCTTCAGCTAATGCTTTTAGCAAACGTAGATACTCAATCGTTAACAGTACAAATGCGAGTGGAAAAAGCATTACTAAGATTGCACCATAAAAAAATGGCAACACTCGGTATAGGGAGAGAGCACTGTTGGCTGGGCTTATGATAGGTGAATAGTGATTTTTGATGGAATAGGCTATATGTACTTTATTTTACCTTACACTAGATTAAGAGTGATGAGGTGAACAATGCTTTGCTTGCTGAAGGAGCAATCATTAAGGAACTGGGTGGGACTTGTAGGTATGATCCCCACACTTGCTGTTTTCTCAGTCCTCTGGGCTTAACCTTGAGGTCTGTGGTAGGCAAAGTCATGGGTTACCCATCCATTTTAGCCAAGGCCTGCTGCTGGTGAGGTTCACCCACCCCCATGTTTACCACCACTCAGCTTGGAGTGTGTTAGCTTCTCAGATTTGGCTCTTGAGTATTTTAAATAGGTCAGAGAAATGAATGCAAGATAACTTACACCTAAGGGCAAAATTAAGCCCATTTCCTTATTCCATCACAGTAATGCCCAGATACACTATCCAGCCAACTTAGCACATCAAAACATCAAAGAGGGAAATGTATGACAGGTAGCATGACAATGCTGTGGCATACCCCAAGTTAAATTATGTGAAGGTCACAAAGACAACAACAAAAAAAATGTAACCCCCCACCAATTACCACAATGATAATCAAGTAAAAAAAAAAATCACATTAAAGAAACCAAACTATCATTCCATCAAATTGAACTACTATGGAGTTGTTGATTCATGAGAGTGAAAATGTCAAAATTCCCGTGAGGAGAGACATGACACTTGACTTTGAGGGGAAAAAACACCTGGGAACAGTGAAAAAACGTGTGAATAGCAAGGCATCTGTGGGGCAGAACTTTAAAAATGTGTCTTCTGCACATGTTTGGAAAGCAGACACCTATCCTCTGCCAGTGCAAACAGGAGCAAGAAGTCAGTGAAGCAAATGTGGTGGGTGTTCATCCCAGAGTGCTGCCAGCACACTCTCCAGTGCCTCAGGTCCACCACAACACACATTTGTAAAGGATTCTATGCTTTTAAAAAGGAGGGGGAATCTTCTGTAGATGGTTCATGGGGAGTGGTGAACTTGGGAAATGAGTCCCCTGAATTGCTTTGTGTCAGTTCCAAGGCTTAGATGTCCTCCATAAACCCAGGCTGAGAAGCAGAGCAGAGACCTCCTAGGACCTTTTAGGAGAAAACAAAAGGCCACCTAAGGACTCTGCCACACAAAAGCAAATTGAACTGCCTTAGATAAACACCTCAAAGAGACAAGAGCATAGTAACCTGACAGAAATAAAAGAATATTTGGAATAAATAAAAATCCAATGGAGTAATGAGTTGGAAGATACTGTGACAAAGAGCTTTGCAAAATGCTTTGGCAAAAATAAAATGTGATGTGTAACAGGTAAAAATAGAGATTTCAACAGATACCAACAGTATCTCAACAGTCTCAACAGTGGTTGAAAATCCACAAAGGGAAAGTGACTACATTTCATATATGCTAAAAATTCAAGATGACTTCAAAAGGATGGTGCTCTGGACAGGAAAGATTTGTCATTACTTGATTATTATTATTAAAGTGAAATTTAAGAACATCAAAAATTTTGAAAGCTTTAAAGAGGCAATCACTCAAAAGATGATTTCACATCTCCCACATTAGCCATTATGGAGTAACACGAACCAGATTTACCTTCCTGCCAAAACAACAAAAATGGATAAAATAGACAATGGCTTTTGGATATTGGACATCAGGTGCAGGGCATATTGCAAAAGTTACCCCTGTGATTGTGCAGGGTGCTGCTTGGAGAGACTGTCCCAGCATTGGTGCAAGGGAAGGCACCTCAAGCAGCTAGGTAGTCTCCCTGAGGGGAGGTTCCAGAAGGTGGGATGTGAGACTCTCCTGGAGCTCGCACAGGAAGGGATAAATCCTCTCCAACAGGGGAAGGGGAGGACTTATCACAAGGGAGAAGTTGGGTTGAATGTACAGCATGAGTTGGGTCACGTGAGCTCTAGGCTAATAGCCACTCCTGACCAAAAAATAAAAGCTTAAAAGCAGCTTGAGTATCAAAACTGTTTTCATGCAACTTCCTTGCCTCCCAGCACAAAGTCAAGAAAAGAAATTCCTTGTATTTAAAGGTATAATACACAAGATCATAGTCTCCTAATAGCATAAAATTCACAAAGTCTAGCTTTCAGTAAAACAAGTAGACACGCAAAGAAGCAGAAAAGTTCTTCATGTGATGAGAAAGATCAGTCAATAGAAAGAGACCAAGAAATGACAGATTAAGGAATTACTAAATAAGGATATTAACTGTTATAAACATATGCCAAATGTTCAAGAAGAGCAGAGAATGGAGAGATAGGTGACAGGACTGCCACGAACTTGGGGTTTTGTGCTGAA